CTTGGAGATTGCCTCTGTATACTCCACCTCCTCGGCCCCTTTCACGACCAAGCGCTCTCCCTCCATGAGAGCAAGGGATCAATGACTTTTACGGAAGTCCCGCCTCTGCGGTACCATGGCGCTGCCATGCCCATGGCACTACTATCCGTCGCCTCGCCTCTGAATCCCTTTTCTTCACAATCAGTAGAAATGTCTCCGTGGCACTCCTCTGAGTCCACCTCCATTCTGACTGATGCTTGATTTTGGGTAGCTAAGTCCCTCTGGACTCGTCGTCGCTTCCTCGCCCCTTTCGACCCCCTGCTTCAACACCTTTGTGTTCTCCAAGCAGTCTGTTTGGTCGATGGAAAGACAGACTGCAACTCCCATGCATGGCCTCTGCCATCACATTGTAGGGTTTGCACCGATTCTGTTCTCCTTAGCTTCCTTGGTAGCAATGTTCGCTTATTCGACCTTGTCCCCTGACTTGTCGGGCTCCCTTAAGCGAATATGAGCTCTGGAGCAGTCCAACTCTCCAGCTGCTTCGATCATACCTCTGCATGATCAAGTTCCTCCCATGGAACTCACTGGCACTTGCATTCGAACTTTTCCCTTGGTGGAACCCAGCCCCCATATGCTGATGACCAAGGCTTTCATCCGAAGCAAAATTCGATGCACACACGGAAGACCCGCCTCTGCGGTACCATGGCCTTCACTCCTTGAATCCATAGCCCTTCTTGCCGTCGTGTTGTTCACCGAAGTGGAGCTCCCAGTAGCTCCCGATCATACCTCCATATGATCTAGTCCCTCCCGGGACTATGTCGTGTGTGTCGCATTGCCACGAACTGTTCCACCACGATCCGCTGCACCATGTCGCCTCCTGGTGACATCTCCATTGCATTCTGATCCTTGTGGAATAAACTCGAATTGTGAACCCTCCATGTGTGGCCTCTGCCAATACATCGCAGGGTCTCCTCCACCTTCGATTTTGTTCGCTCCTTTGGCAATCGACCTTCATCTACCCACTCTTGGGTCACACCTAGATGAAGCACCGCTCTAGGACAGTCCGTCACCTAGTAGCTCCCGAAGTCCACCGACTTCACTGTAATTTGTGCACCATTGTCTGGATCCTGAGCCTCTGCCCCTACCAGCACAATCTCCGCTGCGCACTGCTTCCTTTATGGCAACTTGAATGGCAACACTGTGGCATATTCTTCAAGAGTACCCGCCTCTGCGTCCTCTTGCCCCGTGCTAAGGCCTTCTGTACCCAACTTCACCTCCGCAAATTGAGTCGCCTTAGTTCCTCCATCAAATGCTTCTCCGAGATAAGGTGCATGTGCCCCGAAGCTCCCTTCGTCTTTGGCACCATGCAAGATGAGTCCGCTCCGTCAGAATGAAGGACCCATGGAACAACATGATCCTACTCTTGCCTCTGCAAGAGTTCATGTCCTTGACTTCTATCTAAGGAAAGCACTGTGCCTCTGCTCCACGTTCCAACTTCTATGCTGGCTCCCTTTATGCGGCTTGAGTACTTCGCCAAGTTACACCCAAGTTGTTCCGCTCCTCGTTTTTACATTGAGTTGATGGTGGCCCTTGCGCCCACCATTCCACGGGTCAGCCCTCCCTTGAGTCCGATCTCCATATCGACTCCAAGTGTGCCTTCATTTAAGTTGCTTTAGGTCGCTCCCCCACTTGATCTCGCAATGCATCCACCAATGCATTCTCTCAAGCGAGATCATTCGACGACTCCTCGCCGCTTGCTCAGTCCATCGAGCTTCATGGAGTTGTTGTTTGTTGAGGTACTCCTCCTCAACTTGTGAGGTCCGTCTCACATGATTCTCCCTCTGGAGAGCCGGGACTTACCCCTCCTGGATAACTGTCCCATTGGAGCAACATCTCTCTTCGTTTCGGAGACCACCATCCCCTTGGACTACTCCGATCTGCTGAACAAACTGTGCATTGTTCTGCCTCCTGCAAACGCACTTGCTAGATTGCGACTCCCCGTCAATACAGCCCCCGCTGCACCCCTCAAGGCCTAGCAACATGCTGAACTCGTTGCACACTTCAGCCTCCTACGGACGTATCCTTCACATGCCGAAGAGAAAGTTTCAATGCTCCATGGCGCCGAGTTTCGGTCGCCTTGGGATGGCCACGAACATTCCATCGTCCGCATACATGCCCATGCATGAGTACCAAATTCTTCGAGTTAGCAATTCCCCTCACCTCGGTGAGCTTTGCATAACTCTTTTGGTCGTTGAGCAACTCATTCCACCTTGGATGGTCTCATTCTTGCCAAGCGCCTCGCTTGCCTAGAGCACCATCAAGTATAGTTGTCAACGTTGAGCCGTAGCTCAAACTCGGCCATCCCAACCTTTGTGCGCTCCACATTCTTCCAAGCTTGCCTGTTCTCGTGGTACCTCTTGCGCGAAGGGTTGGCCATTCCTCTGAATGCCAATCTCAGATGCCCGCTCCTCGGAGCGACTCTTTTCCCTACATCTCCATGTCCGTTTTCCCCCAAACGGTCGCGCGTGTGCTGACTGCCCTCAACGCAGCCCCGCTAGGCCCCCCACGTTTGCATGCTAAGTGTTTCTATGAGTGCTTGTCCCGCTCTGATACCATATGACACGGACTTAGCTGGTTTTGCCTAAGTCGTGCGGCACCCTTGCGTGTCCGTCCGCAAAGGTCAGCCTCCCCGAAGCCTCCCACTGTCCCTTAGGACCACCAAAAGAGAGAACGGGTTAGAGAGAACGCCTCAATCGGGATCCACAAGCAAACATCTCCGAAAAACACTTCATAGACAATGCAAATTACAAACAGACTTTACAAGCTCTGAACAGTGGCACAACAAAGGGTAAAATGGTCCATTACAGACCGAAAAGCTCTCGCACGTGTCCACATGACACAACCTTTTTTTACAAGCCTAAAGAGGCCACCAACCCAACTAAAATGGGACTATTATGCCTTCGGCCGCCCCTCTACATGTTGTACAAGGCATGAACATGCCAAAAGACACGGACATACATAAGCATTACGTCAAACATCCTGTTTCGAAGTTTGTCCGTGACAGTAAGACAGCTAAGGTTTAAGTTGAGTGTGTCAGGTTTAGTTTTGTGTTTAGTTTCTTTCAGTCTTCAGATTAAATTGAATGAGTTCTTGGTTCAAAATTCTTTTCTGTTTTAGGTATTTTAATTATCTTTCCTCATTCTTAATCTGATTTCTCCCAGCCATTTAGCTCTATCATCACCTATGTTGAAGATTGTTGTAGATAGGGAACATCTGAAAAAGGATGTAACAAATTGGTGTTAGACATTCATTTAACTTTATATGCAATTGTTCTTTGTGTAGTTTTTTGTTTGATAGCTGAAATCATCTCAAGACCTCAAGTTGCTAATGGTGTATTTGGTATTTTGCTATCTCCACAGTGGGCAACCACCTGATAATTTGCTTAGGGATGCAAAAAATACCAGCAAGTTTTTTAAGCATGTTGGAAGTATTTATCGTTTGGAGCATGAAGAGACATCCGAGGAAGTTACTAGTGCTTACCGAGTTTTAACTGAGGAGGAATTTGAAGCAGTGAGTTATGGAAATTTTATAATAAATAATGTTGTGTTTCTTTTCTATTCTCATGCTTTCTTTTTGTCTCCTGATATCTCTAAAGAGAGAATCAAAAAGGCCATCAATAGGAAAAAACTACTTTAATCATGTAAAGCTGGAAGATATCATCGCCAACTACCCTTACAGAAAAAACTTGCCAGAGGAAGAAATCATAAGAGGTTTGATTTTTTTTTAATTTCACAATTTATATTACTGCATAGAGTTTTTGCAAATGCCGAATAGCATTATCTTCTTTTATCTAAATAAGTAACTTTTCTGCAGAAAGTTTAACTCGCTTGGCGTTGGTTGATTTTTTGAGGGGCCTTGTTGAATTTGATCCGGGAAAACGGTGGTCTCCCTTACAGGTTCTTAATCTAAATTTAATTTGCTTATGCCATTTAGCTTATAGAGTTAAATTATCTACTCCAATTTGATGCAATTATGTATATTATATGCTCATCCTCAGGCTTCAGGTCACCCATTTGTCACTGGAGAACCATTCAGATGTCCTTATAAGCCTCCCCCTGAGTCTCCAAGAATTGTAAGTGAACTCTTTTAGAACCTTACGATATCTACATTCGTTGAGGTCCCTGCATATTTAAGTTAAGCCACCTAGCTTTCCTTTATAAAAGTTTTGCATGATCTGATGCTTGTACTCTATTAATTTGATGCTAGAGTTTTATTAGCACTTTTTAGTATGTTCACCTGTTTATCTATGTGACTATGGTAACTAATCTTTAGGAACTTAGTGATGAGTCTCTGATGCTTCTAGCTTCTCCATGCTACTAAATATATGTGAGACATTTTACAGGAATTGACTGTCAGATACTGAGCTTAATACCTTGCTTTCTTTTTTTTAGCCTGTCATTCATACTGTAACAGTAGACCACAATCCAGGAGGTGGTCATTGGCTGGCTGCTGGTCTTTCACCCCAGGTCATTGTAAAACCATTTTGTCATTTGTGAATGCTATTTGTTTGTTTTCATTTGATGTCCTGTCTGAGCTTGCAATTTTTCCACTTTTTAGGTTTCGAGCGTTAACAAGTATTTACCACTCAATAGCCCTCACTTTCACAAGGTACCCATGTCTTATGGCAGTAGCTATGGCAGCTTGGGGAGCCATGGTAGCTATAATGATAATACAGGTCTTGGGAGCAGTTACGGAAGCTATGGTGACATTAACAGTGTGCATGCCTATAATTCACCGGTAGGTCCATGTGGATTCAATATGCATGTGCAAGTTGGCGGACCATTCCTTGGATCTAGTCCAGATGCTAGACATAGATCTCAGCTGTCTCATGGAACTGGGTTTGGTGTTAGTCCTTACGGAGGTCTGGGACCAATGTCTCTCGGAGCCAGTCCCTCACAATTCACTCCTCCAAGCTCACAGATGCAGATTTCATCTGCTTCTCCTGGAAAGTATGGTCCAACTTCTCCTGTGAGAGGCAGTGTTCGTGGTATCTCTTTGGGTAAAGCAGCTGCGGTTGGCCAGTACAATAAAAGAACTTGGGGCTACCCAACAATCTGCATGCAGCCTTTTGGAAGTGCCGATCATGGACCAGGATTTTGTGGTGATGGTATGAGTTGTAGCCAACCTGATGCTCAGTTCCGAGGACACGGTGGTTCTCCTCATTCTGCAATTTCATCTTCCAGTCATTCTAACTGGTGGCAACAGATGGGTGGAGGGAATGGCTTGTCTTCGAGCCTCAATTCAGCCAATCAGAAGAGTTATCCAGCCCCTCAAGCTCAAAATTCCTTTGTGGTCTCTTCACACAGCTTGGAAGTTCCATGTGATAAACCAGAAGGCAGTTCATCGCTGCCTGATCCTGCAGATTGGGATCCCAATTATAGGTAAGTTGCAACCTGGATGCCTGTTTTGTATTGCCTACTTACAGTGCATTCCAGAACTTGAGCATTTGCTTCCTTAACCCTCCTCATTGGCTTGTAAGCTTTGGTTCAATACATGTGCAAGTTGCATGGAAGAAAAATGACAAAAAATTTACTAGAAGATAATAGTATCACTGAACCTTTAGAAGAAAAATCATTATGACAAGATGGTTACCAGCTGCTGAGTACAAGAATTGGATAGTTCATCTTTGAGGATTTAGAGAATCCTACTTATTTTATTTTCTGTAGAAACTGTTTTCTTTAAGTTAAAGACTGTCTCCTGGCTTCTTTTGTTAAAATGCATAGTCGGTGTTCTTTTAGTATGACTGAATTTGTAACATACCCATATTATTCATAAACTTGATTATATTATGTTTCATTTTATGTTTCTGGACAAGTTTAACTTTACAAACTTCTATATATATACATTTCAAACAATTTTTTGTATTTATGTCAAACATCGTGTCAATAGATTGCCTTGTTGTTCAGTTATGTCTGCTTTGTTTATAATAATCTTGGCATGTTGTCATATCCAGTTAACCTATGCATGTTTTTCTTTTAATTTCATATACTTCAATGTCCCTTTTCTTTTATTCCAGTGATGAATCCCTTTTGCAAGAGGATAATGCAGAAGTCAGCTCCCTGAATTCAGAATTTGCAAATTGTGTACGTCTTACTGACCCATCAGATGAGGCCGTACTAACTAGTGGAATTGGCAGATATGCCCATAACCAAGCTTATCCAAGCACAAAATTCTTATCATCAAATCAAAGGTATGAACACCATCTATTTCCCTTGGTTGTCATCTATATGCATTTTTGGAGTTAAGGATATTTTAGTTGGAAAGATTAGTATCTTGAATTTAATATCTCTGATTATTAAGCAAGGATTCAGATGATTTTTGCAGTTCAGTAGGGCAACATGTGCCACACAGTACCACCCCTACTGCATCATGTCATGCCTGACACGGTCGTGCTCCCTGGCTTTATCTAGTAGCATCACATGTGGCTCCCACACTTCTCTGCACCAAAATATGTATTAGTCACTGGTCACTGCATGTAGGGATGCTCAGATGCAGATAAACCATGTCCATGATTGAAGTTGCCTCATCACCTAGCAATGGTTTATGTTGGTTCTTTGTAGACACTGCCTGACTCTAGTGTAATTGAATCTTGGCTAGTCAATTTCATGTGTAAAATTATTTAAAATTTTAGATCTATGAAGAAAATATTTATTGTTTGGAAGAAGTTGCTAAGTTATGAACTTAATTTTTAAGTGGCAGATTTTTTTCTTGTATGGCTCTTGATTTTTTAGGAGGAAGATATTCTTTTCCACGTATACTCTAGTTTTCCTTCTATTATCCCCGTTCAATAAATCTGTTGTAACGTCTGGCACCGAGTAATGAGTTCCTGCCTTTAGCCAATTACAAAACAATTTGATGAGATTGAGACTTGCTCACTAGCACACATTTTCGTTATTGGTTCTTTGTTCTATCTTATTTTCATTCCCATGCTTCTACAAATTCAATATTGCAGGAATAGAAACCCCAATTAAGATACAGAAATGGACCTATTCTCATTGATTTTTGGTTTACTAAAACCCATGGTTTAGGTAAGCCATCAACATTTTTCATTTGATATGATTCAAACCATTTTGACATTTGTCCTAGCATGGATTAGTGTCCTGGAAGTTTGAAAATTAAAAAATGTTGAAAATATAATGTGATTCAGATTTGTCATCTAGTGGTCTATGTCAAGTTTCATGTCATTTTATCATTTGTGCTACACTTTGTAGAAAAATTGGTGGCAAAGTTACTGGTGACTTAGGGGAGTGAAAAAATGTTAAATCTTAAGATGCTACTAGTGCATATTTTATTATGTATTTGATTATTTGGTGTCATTGCATAAGGGTGCGACAACACTATCCTGTGCAATGTGCCACTTGTGTCAGAGTGCACCTGTATCTTATTTTTGTAATTTGATGGTTGGTATGAATTGTTAGGTATAATCATAGTTTTATATTCTCCACCATCTGCTTTTAATTTTTCTCCTCAATGAAATGAAATACATTTCTGTCTTTTCCTGTTTGATTACAGAACAGATGGTCTTCGTCAGACATATTCATTTGCTGAGAATTACCCTTCTACTTCCCATGAAATACGAGGTGGGAATGGTCGTCCACCTCAATTCTTGCAAAACTTTCCAAGCCGTTTTGGCCAGCAATCTGTTCATAGGTACAATTACATGAATTCAACTATGCATGGTGAAAGAAGTCATCAATATGGCCAGCCAGCTTATTCAAATTACAACAGAGCAGATTCTCATTCTTCTGCAAATGCTATGTTTAGCAATAGTATGCCATGGGGTAATCATACAGCTTAGTCTAAAGTTTTCCTCTTTTCAAGTTGATACCATTGCCACTGGTTTCTTGCTTTCTGATGTTGCTTGTTTATAAATGAAACTTCTTGTGCAATTTGCTATACATCTCAGTTGGTTTCTTTGAAGAATTGGCCATTCAAAGTGCAGCAGGATACTTCTGTTGTTTCTGAAGATAGGAAATGTAACATGCAGATATCTGCAACAATATATTGGTGTGGGATATTGTTGACTGTAGGATTACGCTAGCAAATTGGATATAGGAACACTTTCAGAGAAGGGACTAGATATGATGATTAGGAGAATTAACACAATTTGTTTACATGAACTAAGCAGGTATCAAAGAAGTATGGGAAGATTGATAGTATTAGATATAAAAGAATTGGTACACAAAGAAAGGAGGTTATATATAGAAAAGTCTGTACTATTGTAGGTAAGGATCATAGTGAGTGTCTAATTAAAGTTTCTTGATGATCTAACCCAACTTGACAAAATCATAGTATGGCAAGGAATGCCTGAATCTGCTTTCAACCAAAACCTAGCCAAATTGGATCTGGTTGGTAGGCTGCCACACTTGATCCATGTTTTGTTCTTGGAGGGTGGAAAGGTGACACTAACTTAGAATACACTGGCATTTTCAGTCTGTTGGTTATATCACCTTTGGCATTTTCAAGCTGTTAGACTGTATCACTGCTGACCTCTGCTGTGGATGAACTCTCAACAAGGCAGCTGATCCCATATGCTTCATGAATTTTAATCCACTATGAAATGAGAAGAAAATTTTCATGTCTAATAGAAGGAAAATAATACAGAGTAAGCAATTAACTTCAGGCACCTTAATGTAAGTTGGTTAGGGGTTTTGAATTCCATAATCTTGGTGGCAAAAACTTCAAGCATGTATACTGACCTGCTTTACACCACTATTATTTTCTAATGTAAGGTATAAATTTATCATCGCATCATTTGGTACATAATATTTCACATCTAAGTCTATACTACATTGGCTTTGTTATTTGATAGTAAAAAACCATGTTTGAAGCTTATAGCCTTTGATCGCCACCTGGGAAGTCTATATAAACCTTGATTTAAGTCCGGTGTGGAACTTACAAGAAAATCATCTCCTCTAATCAATACAGTAGAGTTAGATATTACAAATTACGATGGTTATTTCATATATAGTCATCATGGCTTTTCATGCATATCTTACACATGGCCAGTATTTGCATGAATGCAACTAATTTTAGATGTTCCACCAGTACCCAGGGTGTACCCTTCATTGTAATATTGCTTTTTATAATTGTTTGTAATTATTTTCTTTCTAGACTCTTACCATGGCTAGAGTAATTATAGGAGTTGCTTCTTGATCACTAAAAACAAAAAGGTAAGCTTCTTTGACCATCCTCTTTTGCCTAATGTTGGGAAAGAATTTCGGGAGCTTTCTTGATCTTAAATTTTGCTACATATAGCCAATCCATATGAGGATGGTGTCTACATGAAGAGGGCAATCTTTGTTTCATCAGTCAAGCCTATGGATTGTCAGACTTTTTTCTGATTACTAGAGGGCTTGTCATCCTTTGAACTGTACCAGGTATATGCATCTTTCTGAGATGATGGGGCATTGTCATGTTCTGGAGAAAATAGTCACAAAAAGATGAGTGACCTTTTCTTTTTCTTAATCTTTTACTAATTTACTATAAGGCAATGAATTATGACAATTTTGCAGCTGGCAAAGTTGTTAGCAAATATATATTAGTTTAAAAATTGTATATTTTGTATAACATATGGGTTTTCACATTTAAGATTTATGTGACAGTAGGCTACATGGTTGAGTTCTTTAGTTTTTGGATGAACCAAGCCTCTTATAAAATTTTTTTTAATGTCATGTCTGAGAGTGAGCATTATTTTAGTTGTACAGAGTCCTGACAATTAGATACACTTTGGTCATTGAAGCGATTGCGAGTTGGATTATTTATGGATTGTAACCATTAGCGCATGTTAATTACAGTAGGACGTAGTTTATTATTCGATCAAGTTGTCCAACGTACATCCTCTTTGTATGGTTCACTTTGAATCTCATCTCCCATTCTTGTAAACTGGGAGCAACTAGCTATATATGCCCATGTTGATGTTAAATCAGTGTGATCTGTTTTTCTTTGCCTCGTCCGGGTGACACCAATAGGATATCACTAGAAATGAAATTTACATGTATTTTTAATCCATATGGCTAGAAAACAGCTTTTATTACTGACATTTTTGTACCCTTTTGTATGTCAGTGCCTCTTAGTCGCTTCTGATTTGGATTTTCCTATTGACGATTAACTTTTTTTTTTTGTTGGCTGGTTGGACTACAGGAGGAAGGGTTGGACATTCCATGGCGACAACCCTACCGACATCCCATTCGAAAAAGGACTATGGAAAGATCTGAGGCTGTCAACCATATCCGTTTGCCCGGAACTGAAAATTTCTACTTGGAAATTCCAATTCCAGCTGCCTTGCCTTGCTTGTGTTGCTTGTGACAGTCCTTGATGGGGTTGCTGATACACTGTGCTTTTCACAAATATATAATGTTATGGTCATGGGAACACATTGCATTTTATATGACCTTGATGTTTCAACTCCATGCGACTGTCTCTTTACTTTTGCTGCCAAATTGCATAATAGGTGATTAATTGTATAAATGGATTTGTCTGACATAATCTGAGTTTTCTTCCTGCACTGACAGGTGCGACAAAGAGGCGGCTATAACAGATTAGGGGCGTGATGGACTATACCGTTAGACAGGATTTCATTTTAACTGAGCTTCAACCTGGCGACCTATAAAAGTAAGTTTCCGTAATCTTATGTATTGTGAACAGCCTCTGTGGCCGGTTGTTTGCTGCCTTGGTTGACCAAAGTGGTGGTGGCCGCCGATGACGTTCGTGTTCGTTTCAGCCTCCCCCTATTAGATAGATAGATAGATAGATAGATAGATAGATAGATAGAGAGCTCGTCCATTTGCTGGTGTCGCTTCGGGCACTTTATTGCCCAGAAACGTCGGGTGGGTGGGTGAGAGCCGGAGGCAATCAGAGTTACCTGCCCTCTATAAAGGGCACACAAGTCAAATTGGACCGTCCCACATGTAGGCAATCAAGATTCGACATTCTTGGGTTCTAACATGCAGGCAACCCAACGACATGGTCATGTCTTGGTGTGCGTTTGCGTTTAGTTAGTTTGACACGTCAACTAAATGACCATTTTACAATGGTGTCAACTTTGGAGCAGGAACTTACCCGTGCAAGTGCATTTAGCGGTGTTAGAATAAGTCGTGTCTGATAATTTCGTATGATCCTCCCGTAATTAACCCTCCACTTATCGGTGCAAGCGCACTTGGCGGTCGTGTTTGATAATTTTGTATAATTCTTTCGTAAATTAACCTCCACTTCAATCAGACGGTTCCGATGCATCTTTGGTTTTATTTGAGTAAAATACTATCTTTCTATTTTATAAATCCATCGAATAAAACCTGTTGATTTAAGCATTGTTGGGATCATCGTCGGATCACTGCTAGAGAGGATGACACTTTATCACCTTCGTCCTCTCCCACATATTTGTAGGAATTCAAGGATATATGATCTCTCTAGGTAATACAACTATCTCACATGTGATTTTCAATTTTATGGGTTTTTACGCATCAATCTTCATATAACGATGAACACATTTTAGGAAATTTAGGATTTTTATTTTATGTTCTTCCATTATGCATGTGATATCGCCCCTAGATTTCCCTACACAAGTCTCCCGACCCGATCAATGCCCTTTTGACCCATCCTCGTATCTTTCTACTCATCTTACGATGCCCTTAAGTTGGGACTCCATCTTTCCCTCCACCCGGTGATAGTGTCCTACCTCCAATAGTGGGAGACATCGCCTTTTTAAATGGTGCCCAACTAATGTCGCTACTTAATAGTATTCATCAGAGAATGCCGATATGTTGATATTACTCCAACTCACACCCTTTTCGTCGCTTATTTTTTGTTATGCAAGGGGAGAAGTGGCTACTACCTAATCATTTGGGGAGATTTCAAGATTAATGGTGCCTCTTCCAACTACAAAGATTGGAAGGAGTGCTTCTTCCTTATGAGTTCAAGTTGAAGCTAGAGATTCAACATTGTCTAATTGGCATAAGTGCTTCAACTGAGGTACATACTCTCTTCCTCCGAGACAGTTTGGAAGATAGACAAGAACTAGTTAATTGATGGGGTACGATCGAACCTCCCATCGCTTCACTCCACCTCTTTTTTTAGTTCTCAGCCTTGTAATTTGAATATTCTACGAGCATGGATTTACACTTCTTGAAGAGGAAGGTGCCTAGTGCTAGTGATATGTGTCTTACAAGTCAATTATGTGAGTGATGACACATGTGACATAATACACATGCTTTTTTCTTATTATATTATTTGACATTTTATCACTTTATCTTGTACGTTGAATATATTGTGATGTCTATGGATCTATGCAATGGGAATCAGATCGTTATAAGATCATGATAATAAGACCGATTGGCCTTTAAACACAGACCTTAAATAATCCCGATCATAAGTTACTCGAGAGAGACATCGAGATAACCAGATAGACTAGTGTGTTATATACTCATTCATATAATAGAGGCGGTTGGTCTCATAGTTGCTAATGTGGAGACACTATGGATATACTAGATTTGCTAATTAGAGAATGAGTTCACTGATCGATCCGCTCATAGAATACTAGATGGTTGATGATACCTCATTGTCAAATAGCGATTCTATCATTCCAGTGGTGTATTTGGTCTTTAGACTTAAGATACCAAGGATATCCTATATGAGTACTTTACTTTTTTATACTAAATTTATAGACCGGGAAGTTCCAAATATAGCATAATCGATCATCGAAAATGACAGTCAATCTTACGAGGGCTATTGAGTATCAATAGAGGATCATCCACTCTTGGTGTCATAAGAAAAATATTTCATGTGTTATTGCTCAGACAAATCCCTAGTCAGGGTCATTCGGATTGAGAGAGAAAGAGTTCTCTAAGAGAATCCAATTAGAGAAAGACTAGAGTAGAAATCGTATGAGCCTGATAGCATCATGCCCAGTATATAGTTTTTAAGATATTAGATAGATGAGGGACTATATATATACTGTAACAGAGGACAGACAAGTCCAATGGATTGGATTCCCTTGTATTATTTGGGGAATACGACGTAGTGGCCTAGTACGTCCGTAGTCGATGAGTCAAGTGAATTAATATAGAGATAATAATTCACTGAACCAGAAAGAGTTCTGATAAGTATAACTTATGACTAGCTAGATATTGGGCCTAGAAAGACATAGATATGGTAGGTGTTACGACGAGTAGAGGTTCAGATATGTGATATCCGTTGGAGCTCCTATCTTATTAGATATCCAATATGCCACTGGATTATTGAATTCTGTGGATGAAATCCAATAAAAGTCAATAAGAGATTATTGGATAGAGATTCACTAATATAAGAGGTTTGGGTAGTTGGATGAAGATCCAATACCCAATAGGGCATGATTCATTAGGGTTAAGTTGACATGAGATTTATATAAATAGGAGAGAACTAAAGGGTCATAGGCTGACTCTTTTTGGCTGCCACATTTTATTCTTATCTTTCACTCTCCTCCTCAACATGTAGCCCCTATTTGGGGCATGTGGACAGTAAGAAGGGTTGACCTCTTCTTGATTGCGTGGTGCGCGCATCGAGAAGATTTGAGGAGCATCTTCGTAGCCCCTGTCATGTGGATCACTGCTAGAGAGGATGACAGTTGACCTCTTTCTTCCTCTACCATAGATCTAGAGAATTTTATGGATATATGATCTCCTTAGGTAACATAACTTTCTTATACGTGTAGTTTTCGATTTTGCGGGTTTTTGCGCACCAATCTTCGCACAACGATAAAAGATTAATTTTCTGTGAAAATATAAGATTTGTGTTTATATTCTTCCATTATGCATGTAATGTTGCCCCAGATTTCCCTACACCTAGCTCCTCATCGGGCATACCGGAGCTTTGTTCAGCCTAAGCTACTACTACTTGTGAGCCATTGGTAGAGTCAATAGACCCGCCTCGATTTGATCATCATAGCAACGCCAATAAACTAAGGAAGAAATATGAGGCCATTGTGAGGAAAGTCCTATACCCTCAAAGGAAAGACACACTTAAGGAGTTAGCTCGGGAGAGGGAGTTTCCAACCACTATAACGTTAATACCTCCCGGAGGTTGAAGTTCCAGGTCTTTCTTAGGGAAAATGACGAGCATATCATGGTCAATGTTAGACTTGTGCAAGGAAAAGCCTCCGCCCTTCGTAGCTTTACAAATAGCTAATTTACTAGACTTGACCCTCAAATGTAATGTTGTAGTGAAGGTGGAAAGATTTAAAAGAGATGTAGAAGGTGATGGGTGAGGGCACAACTACGGAGTAGTACTATTGCGAGTCTCTATTTTTGGGGATGGGGTGAAGTAAATCCACTACTACCTTTGGAGGTCGAGCGATGTTGGATACTAGTGTATCGAGCGGAAGCGATCATTGACTACAAAGCATTTGTCAAATTCAAGAGGGGTCTAAAGTGGATGAGGGTCACCTCACACTAATTCGAATACCAAATCGCTTTGGCTCGTTTCAAGATTAGGTACTCCAAGCTGGAGCTCAAGGAGGATCCATTCATAGACTACCTCGAGAACTAGAATGTCTCGATACCGACCAAGATGCTCTTTAATGATAGCCTTGACTCACTACCTCATCAATGCTTTATTTTGATAGGTCAAGACTTCATCTTCAATTTAAAAGCCCGACCTAGTTGATGTAATCCTTTTCGAAGTAATGAAATTTTTTTTTCTTAATTCACATCTAGCACTTTAAATATACATCCTACAGCCAACACCCTAGGCTTTAGCAGGCCAACATCCGATGCTAAAGGCATTGTCCTCCCTAGCCTAATCCCGAGAGAGGCATTGAGGATAAAACTTTTTAAAGTTTTCAATGTGCCACGTTTTTAGCAACACCATACCCTATGTTGTCATGAGATAGTATGTTTCATCTCAGATGACTTCGATGACTCAATAAGACCCTTTCCAGTTTGGTGCTAACTTCCATTGGGACATGATCGAGTCACTAACCACAGCTTTTTGAAGCACCAAGTCCCTTAGTCTAACCCCTCGAGAGCGGACTCCTCAGTTGTAGAGTTTGGCCATCACCCTTTTGTATCTTAATGCTTGTAGGTTTCCTTTAACTATAACTTCACTGATCAAGTCAAGCTCGGCTTGAAGTCTCTCTTCGAAGGTTTCTTCGTCAAAGCTCTCAATTCGAGATGTCAGGAAGACTATCTCAGGTGGCCCTTATTGTCCACACATCCCAAACAGGGGTTGCTGGCTGAGGAAGAGAGGGAGGAGAGGAGAATAGGAGGTGGCAACCAAAAGGGGTCTAGCCTATGGCCCTTTAGTTCTCTTCTATTTATAGAGGTCTCATATCAACTTAACACTAATAGATCCTAACCTATTGGGTACTAGATCTCCATCCAACTATCTAAGCCTCTTATATTAGTAGATCTCTACCCAATAATCTTTTATTGACTCTTAT